CTTTAACTTCAGGGGATTAAGGCAGTAGAGTTTTAAAAATCTTAATGTCCAGGCCATATCCTAGACAATTAAACTCAGATCTTTGAAGTTGGGACCCAGGCATCAACATTAACCCCTCAGGCCGATTCCAATGTGCATCCAAATTTAAGGACCAGTATTCCATAATGTGATTTTATTACTTTGGTGATTTAAAAATAATTTATTTTAAACTGGGCTTGCTTGGCCATGGGAAGAAGGCACTATGGCACATTGGCAAGTCACTACTGAGCCCCTGATTAAAGAGCTTAAATCTCTATAAATTCCCCTGATTAAAAAAAAAAAAAGGTTAGCCTTAAGCCCAGAGCAGGGTAGAGCCTGTATGAGAGAGTTAAGCAGCTCCAGATGCAGGGAGAAGCCCAACGGGGCAGGGAGCTGGGCAGCACCTGCCAGCCGGGGCATTTGCAGTTTATTTCCATCCAACAAAGCTTTGGTACCTGGTTGTCTTGCTTCATTTTCTCCCCCTAACACCCCTGAGGCAAAATTCGCTATCTCTGTTTGGCAGATGAGGAAATGAGGCTCAAGAGGTTGAGTGACTTGATAAAGGGCAAATGAGTATCAGAGTTAAAATTTAAACCTGCTTCTCAGAGATGGAGGAAGCAGCAAAGTAATCCTTTGCTGGGCAGCTTCCAGAGGTCAGAGAACATCCCCGGAAAGTGCTGAGATGGAGGGAATTCTGTTGATCGGGCCTTCTAGCAGATGAGCAAGAAATGACTTGATAAGTTCCAAGGGTAGAGGTGGTAGAGACTGTGGGAACTTCAGAGAGAATGCTCCAGGAGTGACAATTAGCTCCCACACTGCCTTCTTCTTTTTTTTTTGAGGCAAAGTCTCACTCTGTTGCCCCGGCTAGAATGCCGTGGCGTCAGCCTAGCTCACAGTAACCTTAAACTCCTGGGCTCAAGCAATCCTACTGCCTCAGCCTCCGGAGTAGCTGGGACTACAGGCATGTGCCACCATGCCCAACTAATTTTTTCTACATATTTTTAGTTGGCCAGTTAATTTCTTTCTATTTTTAGTTGAGATGGGGCATCGCTCTTGCTCAGGCTGGTTTTGAACTCCTGACCTTGAGCTATCCATCTGCCTGGGCCTCCCAGAGTGCTAGGATTACAGGTGTGAGCCACCACACCGGGCCCCACACTGCCTTCTAAAGAGAGGCCATCCAGGTTCTCTGCAGGACTTCCGTCTTGGGAGGGAGTATGACATTGTAGGGTCAGAGCTGAATGGGTCAGGGAAAACAAAGAGACTGGGTGTTGCTGCTTCATTTTCCCTCTGGGACTGACTTCACACAGCACTCAACCTCTGCCCTCTATCAGCGAAGACCATATAATGATACAGCGATATTTGTTCCCATCTGCTGAGTGTTTGCTGTGAGTCAGACCCTTTTCGTGCATCTGTGGAATCCTCACTATGATTATATAAAGCACATACTCTCATCATTCTCCTTTTAAAGATAAGAAAAGGGAGACAAAGAGTGATTATATGCATTATCTATGGCTACATCAGAAATTATCCCCAAATTTAACAGTTTAAAAAAACAATAAATATTTCTAATCTCACTTATTTTCTATGGAGCAGGAATTCAGGAGCAGATTAACTGGGTGAGTCTTGCCAGGAGCATCTCATAAAGTTCTAGTCAAGATGTTCACCATGGCTGTAGTCATCTTAAAGCTTGATCGGGGCTGGAGGATCCAAATCCAAGGTGGCGCATGCACATGGCCGACACATCAGTTGGCTACTGGCAAGCAGTCTCAATTACTTGCCATATGCTACTTGAGTGTCCTTACAACATGACAGGTGACTTCCCCTAAAGCAAGTGATCCAAGGGAGCACGATGGAAGTTGCAGCGTCTTTTCTGACCTGGCGTCAGAAGTCACACTCATTTCTGCAATTATACAGGTGAGCCCTATTCATTGTGGGGCTACTGACTCCACAAGGTATGAATACCAGGAGTTAAGAATCATTGAGTTTCATCTTGTAGGCCACTACTACAATGACAAAATAATTTACCCAAGGTTACACATACGGGAAGTATTATAGGTGAGCTTTGAACCCAGGCAGTTACTATGTCACAGCAAAACGTTTGCTTGAAGGAGTAGGGGCAGACAGGAACCCACAGGCCTCCTCTGTCCTGGAAGCATTCATACTTGAGATCCTGTGCTTCTCATTCCAGTGATTGGTGGGGCAGACACTATCAGATGTGTCACACAGACACTTTGTCAAAGCAACATAATTTGGGCATGTTCTAAAGGATGGCATTTGTCATCACTTGATGGTGGACTTGCTGAGTCAAAGGGAACCTAGATTCAGTTCCAGCTTTGCCACTGACTTACTGTGGGACCTTAGGCCAAGTTACAGCCCCTTTTCGGGCCTTTGTTTTCCCATCTGTGCAATGGGGCAGTTCAAGTTCATGGACTTTGAGCTCTCTGGCAGAGTGATTCTGGGATTCTGTGCTTGGAGGTGTTCACCGGGAAGGCTGAGGGAGTTCCTTTTTCACTTTCCCTGGCGCTTTCAGACATTTGCTGAAATGGAGTGGCCCCCTCAGGTGCAAGAGGCACTCTTCTGGTCCCAGGCCAGGCCAGGCCAGGCTGTTCAGCCCTGCTTCACCAGAAGCTGGCTGGCACCATTGTTCCTCCATAAAGCTGGGCCCCTTTCCAGCTGCTGCTGTCCTCAGGGCAGGGGACAGGCTCAAAGGACTCAGTTGTGTGGCCTGGCCCCTCCCCCAGGGCAGGCCTGGATCACCCAACAGGCTGACTCAGCCCATGCAGGGGAACAAAGGAGATGAGATATGGGTTTAGGAAAAGAATTTGACATTTACTATTTTCCCCCATAAAACTTCAAAGTAATCATCATGGGGAAAATCCCCTTGCACTTATTTATTTTACAGTTCAGTGGTATTTAAAAAAATTGGGACAAGGGCATTGTTTCTGATTTCAGAGCTTAGGGACCCATATTTTAATGATTTTATGATGCATTTTGTTTGCCTCATATTATCTTTCATATTGGGATTGTGTAACAGTTAATGAAATCATAAGCTAATTACAGCATTTAAAAAATTATACAGTTTTACATAAAATAATGTAATATAGGTCTTAAATTTGATGAAATATGATAATTAGGCTCTGTTCTTAGAGCCTGGGCCTGCTGGACCCTGAAGCCCCCTGCAACCTCCATCCATTCCTTTCCACCACCCACAGGCTTGTCTTTATCCTAGAGATATTGTCTTAACCTGGTGTCTACAATATAACCCTCCAAACTTTTAAAAATTTTCCCCAGCATAAGACCCTGAAGGAATTGTGAGGGGGAGGCTCTGCCCGACTTTTGGCCAAGAAAGAGAGATTATTTAGGGCCCTGAAAGGGCACAGAAGACTGAAAGAAACTAATTCCAACACCGTAGTGGGCACTACTGTGCATGTTTTATGTGTGTTAACTCACTGAATCCTTACAACCATATGTTAAGTAGCTATTAGTGTGTCCCCATTTTACAGATGGGAAAACTGAGGCACAGAAGTGATATAACCAGCCCAAGATCATATAGCTAACAAGTGGCAGAGCCCAGGGGAAAAAGAAAAAAAATTTCTCCTTTTTCCTGTCTGCCAATCGTTGTCCCAGAGGCAACATGGTCATAAATGTAGTATATATACTGCTAGATCTTCTTTTTAGGCATTTGTGGTATATACGTGCAGAAATATTTAATTTTGCTTTGCAAATGGGTCATGTTGTTCTGCAGTTAGCTTTTTCTTTTCTTTTTTTAAAATTAAAAAATATTTTAATTAAATTTTTAATTTTTAAATTTTTTTTTTTTTGAGACAGGGTCTTGCCTTTTTTCTTTCTTTTTGAGATTGAGCCTAGGCTACAGTGCAGTAACATCATCATAACTCACTGCATCCTCAAACTCCTGGACTCAAGAGATCCTCTTGCGTCAGCCTCCTGAGCAGCAGGGACTACATGCAGTTGCCACCACACCTGGCTAATTTTTCTATTATTTTTTTCTTTTTTTGTAGAGATGAGGTCTTGCTACATTGCTCAGGCTGTTCTCAAACTCCTGGGTTCAAGCAATCCTCCCACCTTGGTCTCCCAAAGTGCTAGGATTACAGGTGTGAGCCACCACGCCTGGCTGCAACTAACTTTTTCTACTTAACCCCATGACTTAGAGATTTCTTTTCCCTATACGTACACATAGAGTTCCTAGTTCTTTTTACCTGCCATACCATGCAGTATTCCATAGTGTGTATATTGTGAAAATACATCCAAGGGCCTAAGAGGTACTAGGCCCCATCCCACATACTTTATATGCTCTATATCTCACTTCCATCTTGCACCCTGTGGTCATTAGCATTTTTTCCATTTTAAAGATGAAGAAAGTGATTCCTGGAAAGTTAAATATATTAACTGAGTGAATGAAGCAGGATTTGAACTGAGTGTCCACAGTTTTAACCACTGTACTTCTAAGTGCCTTCCTAAACAGAAGAGTTTATTTAAATCATTTCCATATTGGTGGATATTGAGGTTGTGTCCAATTTTCCCCACTACACACACGCTGAAGTGAGTGCCCCTGCACATGCCTCTTTACGTCCACATGTTTTCTAGGGTGGGTCATGATGGTGAACTTGTGCCACTACATTTTTTATGGTGATACCACTAACCCTCCCTCTAAAAAGGCCTTTCTAATTTATACTCTCATCAATTGGAGATCCTGAGATCTTCCTAAGAAGCACAAGGCTTGGAACCTACTTGGGTTTGAGTCCTGCCTTTGCAATATGACTTTGGACTAGTCACTTCTTGGAGGCTCAGTTTCCTCTTGTATTAAATAAGATAATAATCCTGACCTTGTAGGGAACCATGACAGGGAATATTATTAATGTGCTTGGCACTCAGAGAATGCTTAATAAACAGTGCTCAATACATCATGCCAAATAAATAGTTCTGACTTAATTAAGAAACAACAAATGTGATTGTGAGATGATAAACACTCCTGGCACAGCACCCCTGAGAGAACAATTCCATGATGTTGTCCATGGAACAACACATTCCATGAGGCCACAAACATGAAGAAAAGGCCAAGAGAATCACAGAGACATTGGCCACAACATCATCAAGACAAGGAAATGACATGAGCAGCTTTCTGTGTTGAGACTTTCTGTGAGTCACAGAAACTCCCTAAACTACTATTGGCTGGGTTTTCAATTACTTGCAACCAAGAGCATTCTTAGGCAATACTTTGACTATCTTCACTTTAGAGTTGAGGAAACAGAGGTTCAGACATTCAATTGACTTAGCCAGAGTAAGGATTCAAATCCAAATCTGCTTGACTCCAAATTATGAGTTTTTCTTCTAGCCTCCTAGGAAACCAAGGAAAGGAAGTTTGGGTCAGAAAAAAGTTTGATAATAAATGTTTAACCAGACATTTAGCTTCATAAAATAAAAGACTATATTCTCCAGCATCTTTTGCAACCAGACATGGCCATATGACTAAATCTGGCCGAGGAGACGTAAGCTGTGAGATGTTGTGGTGGACTTCTGGGATATTTGGAGGGGGTGGAGAAAGAGTATCATACCTTCTTCATTTTTTTCCCTCCCTCTGCCTACAAAGAGGATGCAATGGCTGGAATTCAAGCAGCCATCTTGGACTATGAGGTAACCTTAATGATGGAGGCCACACTGAAAATGGTGAAATAGAAAGATAAGTTTCTAGGTTACTGATACTGATAATACCATGAAGTTGCATGCCATCCCTGGACAGCCTACCTCCAAGCCTATCTCCAAATCCTTTTTACATGAGAAACATTTCTTTTTTTCCTCTCTATTCTATGCAACTGAATCTAATTCTTGCTGATGCACCAGCATTTAGTTTAGGCATGTGTAGGTGATGCAATTCTGGTCACTGGGGAAGTTTATTGCCAAGTGGTGGGAGTGGGAGGGGGAGAGCACATCTGGGAAAGGTTTTCTTTCATCTTACAAAGTGACAGAAGGAAGAGACGGCCCCTTTCTTCTGCCTCTGGACATTGTTATAGAGATGTGACATTTGGGCCTGGGGTAGCCATCTTGTGAGCACGTGGCAGCCAGTTTGATGACAGAGTCAATATCTGAAGGCAGTGGAATAAGGAGAAAAGAAGAGCCTGGGTCCTGGATGAATTTACAGAGCTGCCACTGAATTAATGTACCCTCAAGCCACCCTACCTCCAAATTCTTGTTACATGGGATAATAGCATCTTCTCTGTTGTTAAATCTATTTTTAGTTGAGTTTTATGTTATTTGTAAGCCAAAATTCTGACTAGTGCTGGAAGAGTGATCAGGTCCAGGGTGTAGCCACTGAAGTGGGTGGAATGGAGGTAAAGGCCAAGATGTAGGGTGGGTCAACCTCATGGAATGTGAAATTGCCCAAGGAGATGACAGGAGATGACAGGGAGGAGAGGAAGAGTGTGGGGCAAGGACCAAAATCCTCAGTGACTGGAGAGGAGGATGGTAGAAACAGCAAAGCAGGGTAGAGGAGAATGTCACTGAATAACATGAGCCTCAAAAGAGCTGGGGTTTTGATGTGAAGAAGAGGAATGTATCAAGCAGGATTGTTATGGTCGTAAGAAACAAAGAATAGGGCTGGGCATAGTGGCTCATGCCTGTAATGCCAGCACTTTGGGAAGCTGAGGTGGGAGGATCGCTTAAGGCCAGGAGTTCGAAAATAGCCTGGCAACACAGTAAGACCCCATCTCTACAAAAAATTTAAAAATTAGACAGGTGCAGTGGTCATGCCATGGCATTCCAGCCTGGGTGACAGAGCAAGACCCTGTATCTAAAATAAATAAAAGAAACAAAGGATAATTCTGCCCCTCAGATATCCTATTTTGTGAAATGCCTCTTCAAGTCTTCCTTTAATTGGTTTTGTCTCTTTTTCATTAATTTAGAGGAACCTTTAAATGGAGAAGGAAAACAAAAGGAAGGAGTGTCATCCTCCCTGCACAAGCTCACAGTCCTCCATCTCCTGGCAGGTTCATGACACACTTTCCTTCCCTCTGTCCTCTGCTCACTTCACTGCCACTTCAACAGCCTCCTTGCCACTCACAGGATGTGCCAGGCACATTCTCGGAAGTGTGTCACCTCCCAAGTCATCCCCATCCCTTTTATTTTTCTTCATAGCACTCACCACCACCTTATTATATTGACATTATATTGGTCATGATATACTTATTTGCTGCATATCTATATCTATCTATCTATATATAGATAAAATGTCCTCCAACTAAGACATTAGCTTCTCAAGGACAGGGGCTTTGCTCACTATTGTAGCACAGTACCTGGCCCACAGTAGTACTCAAAAAAACGTTTATTGAATGAATGATCAAATTAGCCACTAATAGCAGTGGGGAGGAGAAGGAAGGCCCAGATGCGCAGCTGTTATCCAAACTGCAGAGGCAACTATGTGTGGGAAGCAGCTGGCCCTGAGAGGGTCCCTGGCTCCCAGCCCGAGTGAGATTATGAACTTCGGAAAAGCCTTTCTCCACGCCCCTCCACCTGGCTTGCCTCATCTTTCCAGCTGGTCAGAGTCCCCAGGGGTTCATTTGATTCGAACATCCCTAGAAGGCTCTGAAAGCATTCTTTGTTTTTACATTTTCTCATTTTTTACAAGCACCAGGCATGGATAAGCACCTTCTGGAAAACATGTAACACACACACACACACACACACACACACATACACAATCTAACACACATACTTGGCCATATTCCATACTCTTGTACACCTTCATCACTCAGTTTACCCACATGCAGTCCTAATTATGCACCCTTGCTCACACTTGACCTCAGACATTCTCACTCCCCGCCCCACACACTCACACCCATCCGTAGTCATGCACGTGCTCTCCTGAGCGCAAAGCCCTGCCCGAGTTTCCACCTATACACCCACTCACACTGACACACACACATTCATTCCCTCAAGCGTGGCTCCTGTGGCATGTGCACATGGACCCTCTTGCACACACACCTTTGAACACCCCTCCAGGCTTCATCACACAAATACAATAGCCTGGGGTGGTGACCCACACTGGTCAGAGCTTAATGTGATGACCTGTCCCAACAACAGTGATACCCACTGAGCATTGGCCACTTACGTGCTGGATATCCTACACTTTGGGCCTTTATCTTATTCAATCCTCATAACAATCCAATGAAGGAAATGCTAATATCAGCTCCATTTGCTAGGTGAGGAAACCGGAACTCAGAGGCATTAAATGGTAGAGCTAGGATTCTAACCCAGGCATCTGACCCTAGAGTTCACCCTCTTCTTTGGTATGGCAGACTGTATTTTTCAAAAATGGTCACATCTCCCATCCTTCATACTCTTTTAGAACCTTGCCACTCCTCCATCAAGAGGTAGTCTATGGCCCCTTCTCTTGAACTTAGGTGGGTCTTTGGGACAGCCTCAACTTACAGCATGGTGGAAGAAGTTATGCCACGTGACTTCCAAAGCTTGATCATAAAAGGTGATACGGCTTGTGCCTGGCTGTCTCTCTCTTAGGACGCATGCCTTTGGAACCCGGCTACCGTGCTGGGAGGAGGCCACAGGCAATGTCCCTGCTGGAAACCCCAACTGAGGTCCCAGTTGATAGCCAGCACCAACTGGTCAGGAAGCCTTCAAGATGACTCCAGCCCAGCTACCACCTGACTGCAAGCACATGAGAGATCCTGAACAAGAACTGCCTAGCTGAGCCCAATCAACCCCCTAAACCAAAAGATAAAAGATAATAATAATAAATAATGGTTATTTTATGCCACTAAATACAGGTGGTTTGTTTTGTGGCAATGGATAACCGATGCCACGGCAGAGAATAGTCAGCCTGAGGCCACCGTGGGGAGATGATACTAATCTCTCCATCTTCCTTCTAGACCTTTCTCTTCTACCCACAAGGTCTAGAATCTCAGAGCACAACCCCACCATCTGGTCCTTCACAGCAAATGACCACTGGTGCAGCCATCTCTCCCCCTCTCAACCCCCCCCATATGCATGAGCTCTTCAAGTCCTACTACTGGCTCTGGCGCTTTAGGTAAGTGTTCATCCCTCAGTCTCCCCTTCTGTAAAACGTGTTGTATTAAGACCCAGCCCTGGTCACTCACATGCAGGCTATGAGCCATCCTGGAAGCCTGAGTTTAAGGGGTTATTGTCAATGTTTGCATTTTAGGGTCTAAGTTGGCAACTAGAACCACACAATGTCCTGAAAAGACCTTTCAGAATCATCTTGTGTAGCCTTCTATGTATAGAAGGGGAAGCTGAAATATTAATTTTCAGCTAGGGCTAACACAGTCCTGGCACCTAATAAGTGCCTGTGAATATCAGAGAATGTGAGAAGAGAGGAAAAGAAAACGGGCTGAGTTGGATGACAGATCCAATCTTCTCCCATCACTATTGCCTGAGAAGCTCCACCCCACACCCTGCTCTCCGCTCCTACAGTTCCCTGCCCATCTCCCCTTCCGCTTCTGGGTGATCCCTCTGTCTAGGCACCCTGCCTGGAACAGGAACCAAGTGTGAGCCCTTGTTACTTGGGACACCAGGCGTGGCTGATTTGCCTCCCTAGTGGCCCACTCCATCCTCACAAGAGCAGTTCTCTTAGGACACTTCCTCACATGTTTGAAATAAAAAGCATTTGATATTAATAATAAACTCACCGCTCGCCAGGACAGGTCATTTCTTGGAGGCTTTGGAGCCCCTGGGTTGCTGGTCTGGATGCTCCGAGCACCTCAGCTTTCTCCATATTCTCCCTCTCTGAAGGAGGGACAAGGGAAACTGAGTCACCAGAGTGTCCAGGGTCAGGCTTCCACCCTACTTACCTCCTCCATATTCTCCTCCACTTCCCATCTGTATTACATTCCTAAGGCTGCCATCACAAAGTACCACAAATTTGGTGGCTTAAAACAACAGAAAAAATTTTTTTTCTTTTTGAGACAGAGTCTCATTCTGTTGCCCCAGCTAGAGTGCAGCCTAGCTCACAGCAACCTCAAACTTCTTGGCTCAAGTGATCCTTCTGCCTCAGCCTCCCGAGTAGCTGGGACTACAGGCATGCGCCACCATGCCCAGCTAATTTTTTCTGTTTTTGATAGAGACAGGATCTCGCTCGTGCTCAGGCTGATCTCGAACTCCTGAGCTCAAATGACCTTCCCACCTCAGCCTCCCAGAGTGCTAGGATGACAGGTGTGAGCCACTGCGCCCAGTCTAAAACAACAGACATTTATTCTGTCACAGTTTCAGAGGCCAGAAGTCCAAAATCAAGGCATTGGCAGGGTTGGTTCCTTCTGCAGGCGCTGAGGAAGTCTGTTCCATGCTTCTCTCCTGGTTTCTGGTGGCTGCTGGCAACCCTTGGCATTTCTTGGCTTGTAGTCATGTAACTCCGACCTGCTTCCGTCTTCACTGTGTGGTCTTCTCTGTGTCTGTCTTCTTCCCTTCCCTTCTCTTATAAGGACATTTGACATTGCATTGAAGGCCCACCCTAATCCAGAATGATCTCATCTCAAGATCCTTAACTTAATTGCATCTACAAAGACCCTTGTTCCAAATAAGGTCACATTCACAAATTCTAGGTAGATAGATCTTTGGGGAGGAGGGCCACCATTTAAGTCACAGCACCATCTTTGCCCATATTTCTGGAATATGGTCTAGGAAACCATCTGGTTCCTAGAAACTGGCAATTGTTAGCAACAGTGGTTTCTGGAGCAGCCCCTCCCCGTCTATCCTATCCTTGCCTTTGGCTGGGCAGGTTCAACTCCATTAGGGACAGAGTGGGGCACACACGGAAGCCTCACTGACATTAGCAAAGGTGACAGCCAACAAAAGGAGGAAGATAGGTAAATCATAACCAACATGAGAATTCAGGAAGTCCTGCAATGTGGGGACATCTAGTGTAGAGGCAAAAACTCAGTTGACACTATGCAAATAAGAATGACAACCAATGTTCATTGGGATGATCCTGGGCCATTGAGAAATCAGTTGATCAGGTTGGCAGAACAACTGAGGTGGGTCAGATGTAGGGACATATGTTGGCCTGGAGTGCTTATATATATATGATACCATCCAAAGAGGGCAGTTAACACTTAGCTCATCCACCCATTGCTATGACAATGTAGGCTCAGTTGCTAGACAGTTTTTTCAAGAGAAGCTGGAAATACAGATTTCCATGCAAATCCCCCCAATTTTTAAATGTTGGCAATTAATTCAAAGTATCAGCTCTGGGGCAAACATCTCAAGGACTACCATATTATGACCTCTGCCCATGTGTCACGCATTCCATCTCCCAAAACTTAACTAGGTAGCTGCCCTGGGCCAGACCCTGAGCTGGACACTGGCATGCAGAGACGCCCAAGGTTTGGTCACTGCCCCAGAGTTCACAGCCTTCTTAGCTTTTGGTTCTTAGGGATGAATTTAAGGACATGTACAATATATTTTACAAAGCTGTCTGCCAAAACCAAAACCAGACTGTGTGGCCCCTAAAGGCAAATCTCATTTCCCTGGAAGTTCTCCGGCACAACGGTCCTTTTCCTGGTGATGCTGGATAATGGAGGCACCAGGGTGCTTAGATGAGTTTTAGAGGGTATATGGGAGATCAACGCTATGTTGGTGCATCTGCCAATGCCCCATTCAGTGCCAGGAGAAGAGAGGGGGAGGGTATGTATGTGTGAGAAGCAGAAGTGACCATGGCCAAAGAGGCAGGGCACTTGGGGCTATGAGCCTACTCCCTGAGCAGGCAGAGCTGGGTGCAGATCCTGACTCTAGCTAACTAGTCAGTCTTCCTGACCTCAGTTTCCGTACATAAGGAAATGTAGTTAGTAATGATGCTTACCCCACAGGGGTGTTAAAGATCTGACCCCTGTGATCAGTTCGTGATGTTAGCTGTTATTTTCTTCTGCACTTTTTTTTACTCTGTCATGACTTTGTAAATATCCTCCCCACGCTTGGGCAGTTCTCCCCCTGCTTGTCTGCCTGATTCATTCTGAAGACCTGGGTGGGCACCTCTTCCTCTGAGCAGTCCCCACAGCCCCCAGGCCTGGGGAGTCACTTCCTCCCTCCATTTTGGACGCTCTGCTCAGACCTGCCCTGGCACTGATGACCAATGTGGTGATCGTTGGTGAGTTCCCCCCCCCCCCACTGGGTAGGAAGTTCGTTGAGGGCAGGGCCCAGGTCTGACTCATGTGTGTTGCCTGCCCCGAGTGGGCGGTCAGCAATGTCTGTGGCATGAAAGGAAGGAAAGAGGAAGGAAGGGGTGTCACAGACAGCTCCCAGCTCACTGGCTGAACCTCAGGCCCAGGTCTCTGGCAGTTAAAGCACAAGCTGATGTTAAAGGGCTGATCTTTGTCTGACCTAACAGAATTGTGTGAGGGAGAGTGTCTGAGTCAGTGAGTGTGTACATGTGTGTAGGAGGTGTATGAGTGTTTTGTGAGCGTGTATGTATGTGCATGAGCATGTGTATTTGTGTGTGATGGTAGGGTATGTGAATGAATCTGTGTATGAGGATTTCTATGAGTGTATTTGTTACGTATAAACACTTTGTGTCCTTGCACCTAGCACGCTTAACTGAATGTGTGTGGTATGGGGGGAAAGCACGATGGAAGGTAGAGTAGCACAATGGTTACAAGCAGGGGCTCTGGAGTCAGCACTGGTGCTTTCTAACTGTGAGCAAACCAACCAAGATGAGCCTCAGTGTTCCATGTGCAAGACTGGTAGCATTGTAGCATCTGCCTTATATGGAGGTCAAAAGAGTTTAGAGTTGAGTGCTGAGCATTGGAAACAACGGATGTTGCATTATACCAAGTGTCACTATCAACATCCTGAGCAGATGCTTCCAAGGTCTAAAGGCCCTTCATCAAAACAAGTCAAAAGACCACTTACTAGCAAAGCAACATCCACTATTCTTCTCTGAGCTCAGTTTCTTCTATGGGAGGGAGCAGTAAACTGCATTTTGTTTGTCTCCCAAGGCAGCTGGGATGTTTATGCGATCAGAGTCGTCCAAATCCCGCCCCTCGGAGGGAAGGGCTTGGACTGCCTCAGTCCGAGCCAAAGCTGGGAGCAGGGTGCCCTCTCCTGGCAGATTGGGGTAAAGGGTGACTCCAGACTGACCCGGGCGTTCCAGGGGTGCTGTCAGCAAAGGGAGCCCGGCAGAAGGGCAGCGGGTTGGGGAGGGGACTCCTTACAGCTCCTTACTCTTACAGCATGGAGCCACCTGCTCCCTTTTTGTCTGCTGAACTCTTCCCGCAGATGTCGCTCCAGAAACCTCTCCCGCCCGCTCTCCCCGCCCTGTCAGACAGGGCCAGACCAGTCCCCGCTCCTCCTACCAAGCTCCCGAAGCATCCGGGTTCAGTTGCATTCCTCTGTGGGATGACCATCCGAGAAACGAAGGGGAGTGGCAGCATCCCAGACCGTTTGATTCCCAGGGTTCCTGGATGAGGCTCTTGGCAAATGTTAGAATGAAAGGATCGAGGAAGTCCAGACTAGAGTGGGAAATGTCCCCAGGGGCCGTCGAGCCCCATTTGGGAAGGGTCCAGCCTCAGCAGGGGACATGAGAGACCAGGATTCAAGGCATCCCCAACCTCCACCCCAAGACACACCACAGCGTGGGCTCCGGAGCAGAGATTTGGGAACGTTAATTCATTCCCAAATACTGTGTGCCAGGTACTGAGCTGGACATAGGAGATACAGCAGCTGGAAAAACCAGACAGGAGGCGTTGGGACAGACACATAATCAGACGATTTCGATATAGTGATACCTAACCACACCACGCCACAGCCCCACAGGTGGAAAGATTGAAGCTCGGAGAGGGCACGCAGCGAGGGAGGAACATTCTCCTGTATTCTGAGTCTGGAGGGCTCCTCCCAGGGCAGCAGCGTGTCTGTGGGGGCGCAGGCAGCTCCTGGGACTCCCGACCCACAGCGGAGCAGCCTGGGATGAGGATTCAGGGGAGGGGGGAACCGGATACCAGGGTCTCTAAGAAGTCCCTCCCTATACTTCTGCCCAGCGGTGACATCTAGGCAGACTCAGAGGGTGTTTGCACAGCCGAGGGGGCCAGGAGGGGGGACGTGGGCAGGAGACTCGGGGATAGGGGTGGAGCAGTAGGGGCATGTCTCCCCAGCACTGCATAATCCACCTTCTCCCCATCAGCTGGCATCCTCAGCGCCTGGACCCCATGCCCCACCTCGCAGCCTCCCAATTAATCCAGAGTGGGACGCTGACAGCGCGCAGGGCGAGCGGCGGTGCCAGAGCGCAGGCAGCCGGGAGGGCCACACAGCCAATGGGCGCTCTCCTGCCCTCTCCGCCCCTCTCCGCCCCTCCGCGCCCTGGACTCAGAGTCTGCAAAAGCAAACAAGGAAAGGGCAGGTGCAAAGGGCAGGAGGAGGCACCGCTGGAGCTTGGACTTGGAGAAGGGGCATCAGACGTTATTTGTCTACTGCAGATTTCACCGGAGTGGGCGGGGACCCCCAAGAAAGCACCGTTAGCATTTTCTTGTGCATCAAGCCTGCTTTATATATGTTTTGCATATATAGGCAAATACCCGTTTATATATTCTTTTTCTTTTTACACAAATAATAGCCTACTAAGCACAATGTTCGGCACGCTGCTTTTTTTTTTCTTCATTTAACACTATATCTTGAAGATCGGTCCATATTAGTAGAGAAACATCCAGTTTTAAAAAAAATGACTGCCTCAATATTCCACCATGTGGCTTATACCATTATTTATTTAACAAGTCTTCTGTTGAAGGATATTTAGACTGTTTCCAATCTTTTGCTCTTAACGTCATTTCACTCACGTGTGCGTACATCTTTGGGGTAAATTCCTAGAAGTGGAACTGCTTGTTCAAAGCATGGGTGAGTTGGTGACCTTGTTAGTTATTACCAGAGTGTTCATGAAACTTGTACCAATGTACAATTAATTCCAAAGCAGTGGATGAGGAGGCCTGTTTCCCCACAGCCTCATTAACATAGTCTGTTATGAAACTTTTAGATTTTTGTCCATCTGTTAGTAAACTTAAAAGCAAAACTGACCATTCCTTTTCCCCAAACCACATGAGGAGCCTGGACTTCTACCCCCACCTGGCACTAATAAGGCACCCCTCCCCCTGTACTTCTTTTATTGTTTCCTTTCCATGATATAATGATAAAAGGGTCAATCTATCAAGAAGACTTAGCATCCTATATATGTATGCATGAAACAACAGCTACAAAAAAATGTGCAGCAAAAACTGATAGATTAGTAAGAAGAAACAGATAAATCCAAAATTACAGCTGGAGACTTCAACACTCCTCTCAACAATCAATAAAATAACTAGACAGAAAATCAGCAAGGATATAGAACAACACAGCAACACCATCAACCAACAGTATCTAATTGACACATATGGTATACTCCACCCCCAAACAGTAGTTGGCTGGACAACATAGTAAGACTCCCTATTGCTACAAAAAAATCTAAAAATTGGTGGTGTGGTGGTGTGTGCCTATAGTCTTAGCTACTCAGGAGGCTGAGGCAGGAGGATCACTTAAGCCTGGGATTTTGAGATCACAGTGAGCTGTGATCACACCACTGCACTCCAGCCTAAGTGAGAGAGTGAGATCTATCTTTACTTTTTTTTTATTAATTTTTATTTTTTTAGCACACAGATGGTCATTGACTACTGCCTTTAAATAAATAAATAGTCTAAGGAAGAAAAATCACATGATATCAATTGATATCATAAAAAGCATATGACAAGTTCATGCTTTTTTAAAAAATTATTTATTTATTTATTTATTTGAGTTAGGGTCTCACTCTGTTGCTTGGGCTAGAGTGCTGTGGCATCAGCCTAGCTCACAGCAACCTCAAACTCTTGGGCTCAAGCAATCCTGCCTCAGCCTCCCGAGTATCTGGGACTACAGGCATGCGCCACCATGCCCCACTAATTTTATATATATATATATTTTTTAGCTGACCAATTAATTTCTTTCTATTTTTTGTAGAGACAGGGTTTCACTCTTGCTCAGGTTGGTTTCAAACTCCTGAGCTCCAGCAATCTACCTGTCTCGGCCTCCCAGAGTGCTAGGATTACAGGTGTGAGCTACCGTGCCTGGCCGACAAGTTCATGGTTTAATAAAACATTCATAAAAATAGAACACAGAGGCACTTTATTAATTTGAGAAAGAGCATCTACAAAAAAAATCTATGGCTGGGAGAAAATATTTGCAAACTATCAGTTCCATTTAACAAGAGACTAATAAATAGAATATATAAAGAGCTCCAACAACTCAATGGGAAAAATATCAAATAATCTGATTGAAAATTGGGCAAAGGATCTGAACAGACATTTTTCAAAAGAAGACATACAAATGGTCAACAAGTATATGAAAAAGTGCTCAACATCATTAGTCATCAGAGAAATGTAAATCAAAACTGCAATGAGATACCATCTTACCCCAGTTAAAATGGCTTTTATCATAAAGACAGGCAATCATAAATATTGGTGAAGATGTGGAGAAAGGAGAACCCTTGTATGCTGTTGGTGGGAATGTAAATTAGTGCAACCACTATGGGGAACAGTATGGAAGTTCCTCAAAAACCTGAAAATAATACTCCATATGACTCAGCAATCCCACTGCTGGGTATATATCCAAAGGAGGGGAATTCAGTATATTGAAAAGATGTCTGCACTCCAATGTTTTTTTTTTTTTTTTTTTTTTTTGAGACAGAGTCTCGCTTTGTTGCCCAGGCTAGAGTGAGTGTCATGGCGTCAGCCTGGCTCACAGCAACCTCAATCTCCTGGGCTCAAGTGATCCTATTGCCACAGCCTCCCGAGTAGCCGGGACTACAGGCATGTGCCACCATGCCCGGCTAATTTTTTTGTATATATATTTTTAGTTGGTCAATTAATTTCTTTCTATTTTTAGTAGAGACGGGGTCTTGCTCAGGCTGGTTTCCAACTCCTGACCTTGAGCAATCCACCTGTCTTGGCCTCCCAGAGTGCTAGGATTACAGGCGTGAGCCACCACGCCCGGCCATGCACTCCAATGTTTACTGCAGCACTTCACAATAGCCAAGATTTGGAATCAACCTAAGTGTCCATCATCAGGTGAATGGATAAAGAAATTGTATATTTCAAGGCTTTCTCAAAGGAAAAATAATGAACAAAAAAAAGAAAAGAAAAAGAAAAAGAAATTGTGGTATAAATACACAATGGAATATTATTCAGCCACAAAAAGATTGAAATCCTGCCATTTGCAATACAATGGATAGAACTGGAGAACATTATGTTAAGTGAAATAAGCCAAGCATAGAAAGACAAATCTCGCATGTTCTCACTCATATGTAGGAGTCAAATATTAAAATCAATTGATGTCATGGAGACAGAGAGTAGAATGATGGTTACCAGAGGCTGGGAAGGATAGCAGGGAGGGATAAAGTGGGGATGCTTAATGGGTGCAAAAATATAGTTAGGTAATTAAATAGATATATTTGGTTACCCTAACACTACCCACTACACATCACAATGCCTGTAGTGTGCTGAAAGGGCTGAGTAAAAGGCTTGCTGCCCAACCCTCCCTCAGGTCCTGAGGACCCCCCACCCTTAGGAAGTCTTTGCTACCTCACATAGCATTGGCCCTCAGATAGGTCAGACAAATAGACCAAGCAATGGTGCCAGTGTCAATACACTTACTGAATAGTAGAAGGATTCAATTCCTTTTTCATTTTTAGTATAAAAAATGAATAAGGTCAGGTGCAGTGGCATGCACCTATAGTCCCAGCTACTCGGGAGGCTGAGGTAGGAGGATCCTTTGAGTCTAGCAGTTCGAGGTCAGCTGGGGCAACATAGTAAGATCCTGTCTTTAACTTTAAAAAATGAATAGAAATAGAAGATCTAGTATTTTCCTACTATATCTCAGTGTATGATCTTGTGATCATGCCGGCAAGGGTGCACCCCACTTTATAGACCACTGCTCTAGGGAACAGGAA